GCTGACTTGCACCAGGTCGTGAGCAGCTGCCAGGAGGTTGTAGCCACTGTGGGGCTTGCAAAACCGACGTTCTTCCAGCCTGGCAACGGGGCTGGTGCCGAATAGACTAGAAATAGGGAATGCAAATAGACAGAGAGAGGGGCAGGAGGATCCAGACTGCTCCACGCGTCCATCCACACATCCATCCATCCATCCGTCCATCCACGCATCCATCCATGCATCCATCTATCCATCCACGCACTCATCTGTGCGCCCATCCACGCGTCCGTCCATCCATGCGTCCATCCGCACATCCATCCATGCATCCATCCACGCACTCATCCATTCAAGCACCCATCCACGCACCCATCCATTCAAGCACCCATGCACACATCCATCCATTCAAGCACCCATCCACGCACCCATCCATTCAAGCACGCATCCATCCATTCAAGCACCCATCCACGCATCCATCCATCCATGCACACATCCATCCATTCAAGCACCCAGGCACACATCCATCCATTCAAGCACCCATCCACCCATCCGTCCATTCAAGCACCCATGCACATACCCATCCATTCAAGCACCCATGCACACATCCATCCATTCAAACACCCATCCATTCAAGCACCCATCCACGCATCCATCCATCCATGCACACATCCATCCATTCAAGCACCCATGCACACATCCATCCATTTAAGGACCCATGCACACACCCATCCATTCAAGCACCCATGCACACATCCATCCATTCAAGCACCCATGCACACATCCATCCATCCATTCAAGCACCCATGCACACATCCATCCACCCATGCACCCATGCACACATCCATCCATTCAAGCACCCATGCACACACCCATCCATTCAAGCACCCATGTACACATCCATCCATGCACCCATGCACACATCCATCCATTCAAGCACCCATGCACACATCCATCCATTCAAGCACCCATGCACACATCCATCCATTCAAGCACCCATGCACACATCCATCCATTCAAGCACCCATGCACACATCCATCCATTTAAGGACCCATGCACACACCCATCCATTCAAGCACCCATGCACACATCCATCCATTCAAGCACCCATGCACACATCCATCCACCCATGCACCCATGCACACATCCATCCATTCAAGCACCCATGCACACACCCATCCATTCAAGCACCCATGTACACATCCATCCATTCAAGCACCCATCCACGCACCCGTCCATTCAAGCACCCATGTACACATCCATCCATTCAAGCACCCATGCACGCATCCATCCATCCATGCACCCATGCACACATCCATCCATTCAAGCACCCATCCATGCATCCACCCATCCATCCATTCAAGCACCCATCCACCCATCCATCCATTCAAGCACCCATCCATGCATCCATCCATCCAGTCAAGCACCCATCCACACATCCATCCATTCAAGCACCCATCCATGCATCCATCCATTCAAGCACCCATCCACACATCCATCCATTCAAGCACCCATCCACGCATCCACCCATCCATGCACCCATCCACGCACCCATCCATTCAAGCACCCATCTATGCATCCTTCCCCACATCCATCCTTCCCCACATCCATCCCCGTGCAGTGCGAGGCTGCCAACCTGCTCCCTATGGAATCTCCGGACAAGCAGCAGAGCGGAGCTCCTGGAGCTGCAGTGGGGGATGCTTTAGCTGCTTCTCCATTGGGGCTGCTCCCGGAGCTGCAGTGGGGGATGCTTTAGCTGCTTCTCCATTGGGGCTGCTCCTGGAGCTGCAGTGAGGGATGCTTTAGCTGCTTCTCCATTGGGGCTGCTCCCGGAGCTGCAGTGGGGGATGCTTTAGCTGCTTCTCCATTGGGGCTGCTCCCGGAGCTGCAGTGGGGGATGCTTTAGCTGCTTCTCCATTGGGGCTGCTCCTGGAGCTGCAGTGGAGGCTCGGAGCAGCCTGGGTTGTCCTGGGGGAAGCTCCCTCAGGCACCAGCGCGATGCCGCAGGCTCCGTGGAGCGTGGCTTTGTTCCGCCGTGTCGGCAGTGCTGAGAGCTCAGCCCCAGGCAGGAGCGGCCCCCCAGCTCCATGTCAACGAATGGGGCTCCCCAAGCCTTTGCAGAGCTTCAGCTGCGCGCCCGAGCAGTGCCAGGGGCAGGATTTGCGCTGGGTTCAGAACCCGGGCCGGGTGGGGGATGATTTCCTTGCTTTGTTTTGCTTGGCAGCCAAGCTGACCAAAGAAATGCGCTGGGATGGAGCAGGAGATGCTGAGGATGGGACAAACGCTTGCTCAGTGCTGGGAGGGCTCCTTGCCTGCCCTGGCGCTGCTCTCTGCCCATGGCAGACTCAGCCCCAAGGGCTTCAGAGCCCCTCCGGTGCCGCCTCGCTCCCGGCTGGGGCTGTCGGGATGTTCTTGCATGGTTGGGTTTCTCCTCTAGCTCTCAGCAAAGCCTGAGCCTCCCATGGAGCCAAATCTGCCTCCTCCAGGCAAATCCCTGCTCTTGCGCCTTATTCTGAGCCGTTTCTTATGCTGGGCATCCATGGTCGAGGGTGGGTTTGGCCCCAGCCATGGCTCCTGGCTCCTGGCTTGTGTTATTCCCAGCTCTGGCTCTTGCCATGGCTCCGGGAAGGAGGGAAGGAGCATTCCAGCCCTGCAGTGCTGAGGGCGGGGGGGAAACCTGCTCCTGTGGGGCACTGAGTGTGGGGACTGAGGCTTTCAGCAGGAGGAATTGGAGCCTCCGATGCCTTTTCCCTTCTGCCAAGTCCCCAGGAGCTGGGTGCCGGGGGGAGGCAAAGGAAAGGGAGAGCAGGAGCGAGCCCCAGCCAAGAGCTTCCTCCCGCATGGAGCGGGTACTGAGGATGCTCAGAGCTCAAGAGGCTGAAAGCAAAGGCTCCTGCTCGGGCTGTGCAGAAGGGAGGGAGAGCAGCAGGAGCTGCAGGAGCACCCTGTAGCATGAGCATCCCCCTGCACCCCAGGAGCTCCCCGTGCTCTGGTTTCCATGGGGGACTTCCCAGGTTCCTTTAGCCTGGGTTATGGTTGGGGACTGGCAAAGCCCTCCAGAGGATGCTCCCCGCTGGGTTGTAGCTTCCTGCTTTGCTGCACGGCCTGAGCATGGCTCCTGGCCAGTGGCTCTGCCCCTGCTTCACCATAGAACCATGGGGTGGTTTGGGTCGGAAGGGACCATAAAGCTCCTCCAGTTCCACCCCCCTGCCTTGGAGCACCCTGCTCCAGTGGAAGGTGTCCCTGTGCATGGCAGGGGTTGGAGCTGGATGGGCTTGAAGGTCCCTTCATCCCAACCCATCCCATGAGCTACCACAGCCTCAGCCTGGGTAACAGCTTCTGGTCTGGGGCTGGAGCCACCATCTCCTCATCTGTGCTGGTCCCCCCTCAGTGTCTGCTCCAGCTGAGCTCTTCCCATGTGTGTTAATCCCTGACCCTGGTGCCTCCTGCGCTGCTCCATCACCCAACCGCATCCCAGCGCAGGGCTGCATTTGCTCATCACAACCCCAGCATCCTGGGGCTGTTTGAGCTCTGCTCCATGCAAACCCAGCAGGCATCCTCTGGAGGCTGACATCTCCTCACCTATGCATGGATGTGGTGCCTGGGGACGGATGAGGTGATGGAAACCTGGGGTTTAGCAGAGACCTGACCCTGGGGGGGACAACTGGATCACTGCAGCTTTGCTAGAGGCAGCTCTGCCCTGCTTTGCCCTTTGTGGTGCCTCCAACAGGGGCTATTTTACCTCTTGCATGGGGTGACGGTGAAATGTCAGGTTTGCTGAGTGAGCTGCTGGGGGTGGAGGGAAACTCCCACGTGCGCCAACGTCACTTCCATTACGGGCTGAGTAACGCTTTCCAAGAAGTCAGAGGTGGAAGCAGCGCCCGTCATCCGAGTGGGAATCGCATCTGGCACAGGCTCCCGAGCAGCAGTGACCATCCCACCTCATGGGGTTTCAGCTGGGAGTTGGATGGGGACAGGGGTTACCCTTCCTGGGCTGACTGGGTGCCATCAGTGCCTGCTTTCCCCATCCTGTCTTGTGATGCTGGGGGTGTCAGCATCCCCAGGCATGGTCCTGGGAAGGTTTGGTGGAGCAGGGAGCAGCACAAAGCCTTGGAGAAGCATTAAATGGTGCATCAGGATGTCTGTATCATGGGAAGGGTGGGGATGAAGGGACCTTAAGGCTCCTCCAGCTCCAATCCCTGCCACTGGCAGGGACCCCTTCCACTGGAGCAGGGTGCTCCAAGCCCCTGTGTCCAACCTGGCCTTGAGCACTGCCAGGGATGGGGCAGCCACAGCCTCTCCATTGACCCCATCCCAGTGTCCCAGCACCCTCACAGGAGAGAACTCCCTTATCTCCAACCTGAACTCCCCCTGTTCCAGTCTGAACCCATCACCCCTTGTCCCATCGCTCCAGCCCCTGATGCAGGTCCCTCTCCAGCATCCTCATAGCCCCCTTCAGACACTGGAAGCTGCTCTGAGGTCTCCACGCAGCTTCTCTGCTCCAGCCCCAATGTTCTCAGCCTGGCTCCTATGGGAGCTGCTCCAGCCCCTGAGCATCCTCCTGGCCTTGCTCTAACAAACCAACCTGACAAAGGGCACCAGCAGCTCCCCGGGGCTGCAGTGATGACTTCGAGCCTCGCTCCTGCTCTGCACCAGCCCCATTCAGCGCTGTCCCCGCTGCTGCAGCCCCACGGGGAATTAACCCATAGGAAAGAGTGAAGGAGGGGAAAAGCACCGGCCCCGCACCTCTCGCTGTCTCCTGCCCTTCCTGTGCCCTGGCTGCAGCGATCTCTGCTCCTTAGCAACAGCCCTGCAGCGCTCAGGGCTCCGTTATCTCCTCCCGGCCCCAGGGCTCTGTGGGAAGCACACAAGTGGTACCCAGGCGGGCAGCGTGTCCCGAGCTCACCCCATCCCGGGGCTCCCCTCCCAAAGGGGCTGGAGCGAGCGGGCAGATGCTCTGCATTGACTCCTCATCGCGGTAAGGTCTGAGCTGGCTCAGCCCCTGTCCTCTCTGTCTTTAATGCAGGTGGCTCCATGTCCCAGCGGCAGAGCTCGTGGGAGCTGCACCAGCAGAGCATGGCCTACCTTCCAGATCCAGGTAATCAATGGCCTCTGCACAGGGACCTTCTCCTTGGGCTCGGGTCTGGCTCCTCCTGGGGGCTTTCTCCAAGCGATGTAAAGGACCAGGACATGGGGATGCTGCAGCTCTGCTCTGGAGCCAGGCTGGGAGAGCTGGGCTGGGGCAGCCTGGAGAAGAGAAGGCTCCTGAAGGGGAGACCTGAGAGCAGCTCCAGTGCCTGAAGGGGCTGCAGGGAACCTGGAGAGGGGCTTGGGACAAGGGATGGAGGGGTGGGATGAGGAGTTTGGGCTTCCAGCTGGAAGAGGGAAGAGTTAAATGGGATATGGGGAAGAGGTTCTTCCCCATGAGGGTGGTGGGAGGCTGGAATGGAGAAGGTTTGGATGCCCCATCCCTGGCAGTGCTCAAGGCCAGGCTGGACACAGGGGCTCGGAGCACCCTGCTCCAGTGGAAGGGGTCCCTGGAGCTGGATTGGAGCTGGAGGAGCTTTAAGTTCCCTTCAACCCAAACCATTCCCTGACTCCTGTCTAAAGGCACCGGGACAGTTGCCTGCGAGACCTTTCCGGTGCTACACAGAGGAAACCCCAGGCTCCAGGAGCTGCTTTGGGATCTCACCCCCCAGGTGCTCCAGGACCATCGCTCTCTGGCTCCAGGGCCTTTGTGTGCCCTGCATTGCTGCTGGCCCTGGCAGGGAGCAGAGTGCCCCAAGCTCCATCACAATTCCCACTGCAGTGATTTGTGGTACCAGGGCTGCTTCCTCCCCACCTTGTTTCCATCCCATAGCAGCTCCATCCCTGGGGTTTCTGTAGCAGCGGCCGGGGCAATTCTGGTCCATTTGAGCTCTTCTAAAAACCACCCTGATGGGGAGCAGGTTCTGCCATTGGAGCACAGCAAAGGGCTGGGAGCGTGTTCGGGAGGGCTGTGGGAAGGGGGGATTAGAAATGGGTTTACTGCGTAGAGAAGCGAATGCACCCTAAAAATGAGATAGAATCTGCCTTACGGTGGTCCTAAAGCAGGTCCTAGCCTGTGCTCTAGGACATGGGGGGTCCCCACTGTTAGTGCAGAAGGAGCAGAGAGACGTAGAGCATAGGGAGCACAGAGACATAGAACATACGGACATGGAGGCAATGGGGACACAGAGATAGAACATAGGGACATGGAGGCAATGGGAACATGGAGACATAGAACATAGGGACATGGAGGCAATGGGAACACAGAGACATAGAACATAGGGACATGGAGGCAATGGGAACACAGAGACATAGAACATAGGGACATGGAGGCAATGGGAACACAGAGACATAGAACATAGGGACATGGAGGCAATGGGAACACGGAGACATAGAACATAGGGACATGGAGGCAATGGGAACACAGAGACATAGAACATAGGGACATGGAGGCAATGGGAACACAGAGACATAGAACATAGGGACATGGAGGCAATGGGAACACAGAGACATAGAACATAGGGACATGGAGGCAATGGGAACACAGAGACATAGAACATAGGGACATGGAGGCAAAGGGAACACAGAGACACAACATAGGGACATGGAGGCAATGGGAACACAGAGATAGAACATAGGGACATGGAGGCAATGGGAGCACAGACATAGAACATAGGGACATGGAGGCAATGGGAACACAGACATAGAACATAGGGACATGGAGACAATGGGAACACAGACATAGAACATAGGGACATGGAGACATTGGGAACACAGACATAGAACATAGGGACATGGAGGCAATGGGAACGTGGAGACATAGAACATAGGGACATGGAGACATTGGGAACACAGACATAGAACATAGGGACATGGAGGCAATGGGAGCACAGAGACATAGAACATAGGGACATGGAGGCAATGGGAACACAGAGACATAGAACATAGGGACATGGAGGCAAAGGGAACACAGAGACATAGAACATAGGGACATGGAGGCAAAGGGAACACAGAGACATAGAACATAGGGACATGGAGGCAATGGGAACACAGAGACATAGAACATAGGGACATGGAGGCAATGGGAACACAGAGACATAGAACATAGGGACATGGAGGCAATGGGAACACAGAGACATAGAACATAGGGACATGGAGGCAGTGGGAACACAGACATAGAACATAGGGACATGGAGGCAATGGGAACACAGACACATAGAACATAGGAGGGACATGGAGGCAATGGAGGCAATGGGAACACAGACATAGAACATAGGGACATGGAGGCAATGGGAACGTGGAGACATAGAACATAGGGACATGGAGGCAAAGGGAACGTGGAGACATAGAACATAGGGACATGGAGGCAGTGGGAACACAGACATAGAACATAGGGACATGGAGGCAATGGGAACACAGACATAGAACATAGGGACATGGAGGCAAAGGGAACACAGAGACATAGAACATAGGGACATGGAGGCAGTGGGAACACAGAGACATAGAACATAGGGACATGGAGGCAAAGGGAACACAGAGACATAGAACATAGGGACATGGAGGCAATGGGAACATGGAGACATAGAACATAGGGACATGGAGGCAATGGGAACACAGAGATAGAACATAGGGACATGCAGGCAATGGGAACATGGAAACATAGAACATAGGGACATAGAGGCAATGGGAACAGACATAGAACATAGGGACATGGAGGCAAAGGGAACACAGAGACATAGAACATAGGGACATGGAGGCAATGGGAACACAGACATAGAACATAGGGACATGGAGGCAAAGGGAACACAGAGACATAGAACATAGGGACATGGAGACAATGGGAACACAGACATAGAACATAGGGACATGGAGGCAGTGGGAACACGGAGACATAGAACATAGGGACATGGAGGCAATGGGAACACAGACATAGAACATAGGGACATGGAGGCAGTGGGAACACGGAGACATAGAACATAGGGACATGGAGGCAATGGGAACACAGACATAGAACATAGGGACATGGAGGCAGTGGGAACACGGAGACATAGAACATAGGGACATGGAGGCAATGGGAACACAGACATAGAACATAGGGACATGGAGGCAATGGGAACGTGGAGACATAGAACATAGGGACATGGAGGCAATGGGAACATGGAGACATAGAACATAGGGACATGGAGGCAATGGGAACACAGACATAGAACATAGGGACATGGAGGCAATGGGAACATGGAGACATAGAACATAGGGACATGGAGGCAATGGGAACACAGACATAGAACATAGGGACATGGAGGCAATGGGAACATGGAGACATAGAACATAGGGACATGGAGGCAATGGGAACACAGAGACATAGAACATAGGGACATGGAGGCAATGGGAACACAGAGACATAGAACATAGGGACATGGAGGCAATGGGAACACAGACATAGAACATAGGGACATGGAGGCAATGGGAACACAGACATAGAACATAGGGACATGGAGGCAATGGGAACGTGGAGACATAGAACATAGGGACATGGAGGCAATGGGAACACAGACATAGAACATAGGGACATGGAGGCAATGGGAACACAGAGACATAGAACATAGGGACATGGAGGCAATGGGAACGTGGAGACATAGAACATAGGGACATGGAGGCAATGGGAACGTGGAGACATAGAACATAGGGACATGGAGGCAATGGGAACACAGAGACATAGAACATAGGGACATGGAGGCAATGGGAGCACAGAGACATAGAACATAGGGACATGGAGGCAATGGGAACACAGACATAGAACATAGGGACATGGAGGCAAAGGGAACGTGGAGACATAGAACATAGGGACATGGAGGCAATGGGAACGTGGAGACATAGAACATAGGGACATGGAGGCAATGGGAACATGGAGACATAGAACATAGGGACATGGAGGCAATGGGAACACAGAGACATAGAACATAGGGACATGGAGGCAATGGGAACGTGGAGACATAGAACATAGGGACATGGAGGCAATGGGAACATGGAGACATAGAACATAGGGACATGGAGGCAAAGGGAACACAGAGACATAGAACATAGGGACATGGAGGCAATGGGAACACAGAGACATAGAACATAGGGACATATGGGAACACAGAGACATAGAACATAGGGACATGGAGGCAATGGGAACACAGAGACATAGAACATAGGGACATGGAGGCAATGGGAACGTGGAGACATAGAACATAGGGACATGGAGGCAATAGGAACACGGAGACATAGAACATAGGGACATGGAGGCAATGGGAACATGAAGACATAGAACATAGGGACATGGAGGCAATAGGAACACAGAGACATAGAACATAGGGACATGGAGGCAATGGGAGCACAGAGACATAGAACATAGGGACATGGAGGCAAAGGGAACACAGAGACATAGAACATAGGGACATGGAGGCAAAGGGAACACAGAGACATAGAACATAGGGACATGGAGGCAATGGGAACACAGAGACATAGAACATAGGGACATGGAGGCAATGGGAACACAGAGACATAGAACATGGGAACACAGAGACATAGAACATAGGGACATGGAGGCAATGGGAACACAGACATAGAACATAGGGACATGGAGGCAATGGGAACACAGACATAGAACATAGGGACATGGAAGCAATGGGAGCACCGGAGTTTCTCTTCCCACCCCCTGTGGAAGCCGAGCACAGGTCCCTCCCTTCCTGGCAGGGCTTTGCTGTCGGTGGGGCTGGGATGGGCCCTTTGCAGTAACGGTGCCTCTGACCCCCAGAGCCAGAGCCCGTGGCCGCCAGCACCTCCCTGCCCGACCCCAGCACCGACTGCGACCGGAACGTGCCCCGGATCTGCGGGGTCTGTGGGGACAAAGCCACCGGCTTCCACTTCAACGCCATGACCTGCGAGGGCTGCAAGGGCTTCTTCAGGTGAGTGGGGGGCTGGGGGCAGGGGGGGCCTCACCCCATCCCCAGCATCACCTGAGCCTCCGGGGGCTGCTCCCTGCATCCCTGCATCCCTGCATCCCCACATCCCTGCATCCCTGTGTCCACTCATCCCTGCATCCCTGCATCCCCACATCCCCACATCCCTGCATCCCTGTGTCCACTCATCCCTGCATCCCTGCATCCCCACATCCCCCCATCCCTGCATCCCCGCATCCCTGCATTCCCCATCCCTGCATCCCAACATCCCTGCATCCCCGCATCCCTGCATCCCCGCATCCCCACATCTCTGCATCCCTACATCCCCCCATCCCTGCATCCCCGCATCCCTGCATCCCCCCATCCCCACATCCCTGCATCCCCGCATCCCCACATCCCCGCGATGTGCCCGCATTGCAGAGCTGGCACCTCCAAGCCTTGATGCTGGAGAGGTCACAAGCTCCTTGTGCCGTCCTGTGCCCCCCTGCCATGGGAAATGGGATGTTTTCCCCCATATCAGAGATTTCCATCTCTCTGGGAGCCCCGCAGCCCTGCTCGTGCTGCATAGGCAGGAGTATAAGAGCCCCTATGGATGGCACCTGGGAAAACACACCTGAAAGACTGAACACACCTTGGAGACTGAAGGGGTTTGATGGCCACAAGGTTCTATTTAAAGCAAACTGCATCTGGTGGCTGCTCTGAAGCTCTGGGTGCTTGTGAATGGAGATGGATGTGGTCCTCTGCCTGCCTGCTGCAGCGGGCACCGAGCCCTTCCCAAACCAGGCACAGCTCTGGGGGTTGGAAGTAGCCGGAGGTTGGACATGGAGCCTTTTGGAGGCTTTTCCACTGTCAAGTGGGGTCTTGAGTGGCCTCAGGCTGGGCAGCAAAGCACAAACACCTCAGGGAGAGACCAGGCAGGTCTGGAGAGCTGCAGGTGTCAGGGGTTTGGGTCTACCCTCATGATGCTCCCATACAGACAGCGCTGCCCCCTTCACATGGGAGGCCAGAGCGGCTTGCACCAGACTGACCCTGGTGCAATGGGGCAGGGTGGTGCCTGCATTGCCCTGCAGTGGGATGGTGGCACAGGCAGCAATGGGATGGTGGCACAGGCAGCAATGGGATGAGATGGTGGCACAGGCAGCAATGGGATGGTGGCACAGGCAGCAATGGGATGCGATGGTGGCACAGGCAGCAATGGGATGGTGGCACAGGCAGCAGTGGGATGCGATGGTGGCACAGGCAGCAATGGGATGGTGGCACAGGCAGCAATGGGATGGTGGCACAGGCAGCAATGGGATGGTGGCACAGGCAGCAGTGGGATGGTGGCACAGGCAGCAGTGGGATGGTGGCACAGGCAGCAATGGGATGGTGGCACAGGCAGCAGTGGGATGCGATGGTGGCACAGGCAGCAGTGGGATGCGATGGTGGCACAGGCAGCAGTGGGATGGTGGCACAGGCAGCAGTGGGATGGTGGCACAGGCAGCAATGGGATGGTGGCACAGGCAGCAATGGGATGGTGGCACAGGCAGCAGTGGGATGCGATGGTGGCACAGGCAGCAATGCGATGGTGGCACAGGCAGCAATGGGATGGTGGCACAGGCAGCAGTGGGATGGTGGCACAGAGAGCAGTGGGATGGGATGGTGGCACAGGCTGCAATGGGATGGTGGCACAGGCAGCAGTGGGATGGTGGCACAGAGAGCAGTGGGATGGGATGGTGGCACAGGCAGCAATGCGATGGTGGCACAGGCAGCAATGGGATGCGATGGTGGCACAGGCAGCAATAGGATGGTGGCACAGGCAGCAGTGGGATGGTGGCACAGGCAGCAATGGGATGGGATGGTGGCACAGGCAGCAATGGGATGCAATGGTGGCACAGGCAGCAGTGGGATGCGATGGTGGCACAGGCAGCAGTGGGATGGTGGCACAGGCAGCAATGGGATGGGATGGTGGCACAGGCAGCAGTGGGATGCAATGGTGGCACAGGCAGCAATGGGATGGTGGCACAGGCAGCAGTGGGATGGTGGCACAGGCAGCAATGGGATGCGATGGTGGCACAGGCAGCAATGGGATGGGATGGTGGCACAGGCAGCAATGGGATGGTGGCACAGGCAGCAGTGGGATGGTGGCACAGGCAGCAATGGGATGGTGGCACAGGCAGCAGTGGGATGGTGGCACAGGCAGCAATGGGATGGTGGCACAGGCAGCAGTGGGATGGTGGCACAGGCAGCAGTGGGATGCGATGGTGGCACAGGCAGCAGTGGGATGGTGGCACAGGCAGCAGTGGGATGCGATGGTGGCACAGGCAGCAATGGGATGGTGGCACAGGCAGCAATGGGATGCGATGGTGGCACAGGCAGCAGTGGGATGGTGGCACAGGCAGCAATGGGGTGGTGGCACAGGCAGCAATGGGATGCGATGGTGGCACAGGCAGCAGTGGGATGGTGGCACAGGCAGCAGTGGGATGCCAGCACCACCACACAGCTTTACAGCATGAGCTGGACTCTTACAGCACCCAGGGCCTGCCCTCTCACAGCCAAGGGGTTCAGGGATGTGGAGCCTGGAGCTTTGGAGCCCAACCCGAGCAGCACCTCAGGACCTTCCCCGTCCCGTTGTGGCTGCAGAGCAATGGTCCGGCTTTTGGCATGGCTTAAGGAGCCCTTCCTGGGTGCGCCGTGGCTCTCGCAGTGATGCTCTGAGCCCGGCGCTGTCTCCTTATCTCTGTTGTCACACGTTGTCCCTGTGCAGCCATAGAGCGGTGACAGCGTTTCTGAGCGCACCTCTCAGTGATGGGGAAAGCTCTCACCTTCCTGCCCCCTCTAAAGCCTTTAGCTCCCATGTAAGGCTCTAATTACCTCTTGCTTTCTATCCTGCTTTCGAGGCCCGTTTCCATGCCGTGTTCAATCACTGAATGCATTGATATTGCTGCTGCCCAGTAGTTCAGTGTTTGCTGCACTAATACATCGCAGCAGGGCCATGGGAGAGCCTGGACTCCCCAAAACTCTCCTGGAAAAGCCCGTCCCTGCCTTTGCCAGCACCGTGGGCTCTGTTAGAGGCTGTGCTCAGAGCTGGTTTCACCTGGGACATGAACCCCGCTGTGAGGTCCCTTGGGAGCATCCAGGGACTCTCCAAACAGCACCAGGGTTTATTGGCACCCTTGGGTGCTGCGGCGCAGGCAGGCACGAGGCAACCTTTGGCCCCTGGCTTCAAAGGCCGCTGTTTGCTGACGGTGCCAATGGCAACGGTGGCGGGTCCTGGAGCTCTGCTCTGCGCTGGGAGCTCTGACAGAGCAGTTAATCCGGAGGGATTTACCCGCGGCGGCTCCGGTTTCTCTGGGGGTGCAGTGGCGCTGGGTGCTAACGGCAGAGCTGCTCCGGGTGTTCTGAACCCTTCCCATCCCCACCCCTCCTGTCTCCACCCCTGCATCCCATCCCTGCATCAAACCCCTGCATCCCATCCCTGAATCCCACCGCTACATCCCACTGCTACATCCCACCGCTGCATCCCACTGCTACATCCCACCCCTGCATCCCACCCCTGCATCCCATCCCTGCATCCCACCCCTGCATCCCATCCCTGCATCCCACCCCTGCATCCCACCCCTGCATCCCACCCCTGCATCCTATCCCTGCATCAAACCCCTGCATCCCACCCCTGCATCCCACCCCTGCATCCCACCCCTGCATCCCATCCCTGCATCCCACCCCTGCATCCCATCCCTGCATCCCACCCCTGCATCCCTCCCCTACATCCCACCCCTGCATCCCACCCCTGCATCCCATCCCTACATCAAACCCCTGCATCCCACCCCTGCATCCCACCCCTGCATCCCTCCCCAACCCTTAGCTTTAGCTTTTAGAGCCGATCCTGCTTCCCCAGGGCTCTCTAAAGAGATTTCAGGGCAAGGGGGCACTGACTTGGCTGTCACAGGGCAGCAATGGCATCGTCCCACCCCAAGGGGTTTGTGCCCCCTGGATGAGGTGGTTCTGCTGCAGCCTTGGTGCCAGAGTGATCCCTCCTCCTCCAGCTCCTCCAGCTCCAGCCCCTGCCACGTCCAGGGACCCCTTCCACTGGAGCAGGGTGCTCCGAGCCCCTGTGTCCAACCTGGCCTTGAGCACTGCCAGGGATGGGGCAGCCACAGCTTCTCTGGGCACCCTGTGCCAGCGCCTCAGCACCCTCACAGGGAAGAGCTTCTGCCCCAGAGCTCATCTCAATCTCCTCCTGGCAGGTTCAAGCCATTCCCCTTGTCCCACCCCTCCATCCCTTGTCCAAGCCCCTCTCCAGGTTCCCTGCAGCCCCTTCAGGTGCTGCAATGCCCAAGCTCCTGCCCTGAGGCGCTGGCATCCTCTCCATCCCCATCTCTTGGCCCCGGTGGGCTCTGTCACCCCATGGGACGCTCCTCCTGCCCACAGCCATGGGTGATGGACGCTGCCCCCCCCATGGGAGCTGTGTCCCTGTTCCCTGCGCTCAGTGCCCATGGAGCCCGGTGCTGGCCGTGGCTCTGCTCCCCCCCCCCCCAACCACGGGCAGGCAGCGACGTCTCTATTTTTACCTCCGCAATGAGCCTCCAAATGGCTGGGTTGGAGCCTCGTAAATACACCCTGGAGCCAGGCACCGGGACCTGCTCCGCCGGGAACGGGGCAGCTCCGGGCCCCTCAGAGCCGGGAGCTGCGGCCCCCTGGGGCAGCGCAGCCCAACCTCCGTGTGTTCCCGGACTGCAATTTTCATACCAAACCCACAGCCCTGCCTTGCCCCTGCCCTCGCCTCGGGCACCGTTCCCTGCCCCAGGCCTTCTCCCTCTTGTTTGTGCCTTGCCCTGGGCTGCAGGGAGGGGGGGGGATCAGGGAGCCTCCTGCCTGCCCCCCCCCCGATGCTCGCAGCCAGGGACACTCATAGGAACAAGGGGGGTTTGGGGTGCTGGGCTCCGTGTCCTGATGTGCCCCTGAGCTCACCCTGTTCCTGTGAGAGCAAAGGTCCTGATGGAGGGGGAAAACCCAGAGAGGAGACAAACCAGAGGCAGCTGTGGGGAGAAACAGGGGTTCCTCAGTGTAAGGCAGGGCCAGGGGGTTCCGCCATCCCATAGTAACCCCACTGAATGCCTTCATTCAGGTAAAGGGAGAGCGAAGCCTCTGTTTACAGCTCTCTTTCTAAAATAGCTCCTAATTGCTGTGTGCGGCCTCCCTGCGCCTATTTATACCCCATAAGCATGGGCTCGGTGCTGGAGGGGGCCCCTCTGCTGTCGCCCCCTCAGCCTGCAGCCACGTCCATGGTGTCTGAGGAGCAGGGGGGCTGTCACCATCAGCTCAGCACCACGGAGGGGTTTCAGTGCTGGTTCCGCAGGATGCTCCTCATCCTCCTGCATCCCGCATCCGGCACCAGGGGGACCTGGAGCTGCTGGAGGGAGGCCATGGGGGTGCTGCGAGGGGTCCTTAAGGGGAGACCTGAGAGCAGCTCCAGTGCCTCAGGGGGCTCCAGGAAACCTGGAGAGGGGCTTTGGACAAGGGATGCAGGGATGGGATGATGCTTGGGCTTCCAGCTGGACCAGGGAAGAGTTAAATGGGATATGGGGAAGTTCTTCCTTATGAGGGTGTTGGGACGCTGGAACGGAGAAGCTGTGGCTGCCCCATCCCTGGCAGTGCTCAAGGCCAGGGTGGACACAGGAGCAAACTGCTCCAGCAGAAGGTGTCCCTGGCCATGGAACTGGATGAGCTTTCAGGTCCTTTCCAACCCAGTCCCGTTGGGATTCAATAGAACAGCACTGACTCGGTGGCCACATCCTCTCTGCTCTGCCTGCACCGCATCTCCTCCCTGCTGCATTCCCCCCCTCTGAACACCCTTGGCCTCGCAGCCTGGAGGCACCGGGGCCTCGTTCACCTTCAAAATCACCTCTTTGTGCAGAGCCGGTGGCACCCTTAGGACCTCCTGTAAACGAGAGGCGAGCTCCTGTTGCTGATGGTTGAGTAACGCTCTCCAGAGCAGAGGCATCCGCAGGGGAGCCGCGGCTCAGCTATGCCTGTAACGTGTCATTAGCGGCCAGCAGGCAGGATGCCCCTGCACAGAGGCCACTTCTGGAGTTGTCCCTCCAGCTCTGCCTTTGACCCTTTGGACTTGGAGCACTGACAGCCCCCGTGGCAGCGGGGTTAACGTGGCACGGGCCGGCTCTGGTCAGGGGGGTTCCTCTTGAGCCCCGTGCTATTTCCGCACGCAGGCGAGCTCTGCAGCCAGCAAAGGCTGGTGAATGTTTAATGGCACGCGCTGCTTTCCATTGCTGTTCCTGGAGGGGGGGGTTCTCCAACCCTTCCACCTTCCTCATGCCCTTCAAAGTACCTGCTCCCAACCGGAAAGCTGCTTAACCTGAGGCTGAGCCCCTCGGCTGTGGCCTTATAGAATCAGGGAATGGTTTGGGTTGGAAAGGACCTGAAGCTCATCCAGTTCCAACCCCCTGCCATGGGCAGGGACACCTCACACTAAACCAGGTCACCCAAGGCTTCATCCAACCTGGTCTTGAGCACTGCCAGGGATGGAGCATTCCCAACCTCCCTGGGCAACCCATTCCAGTGCCTCAGCACCCTCACAGGAAAGAATTTCCTCCTTAGATCCAATCTAAACTCCCCCTGTTTCAGTTTGAACCCGTTACCCCTTGTCCTGTCACTGCAGTCCCTAATGAAGAGTCCCTCCCCAGCATCCTTGTAGCCCCCTTCAGACACTGGAAGCTGCTCTGAGGTCTCCACGCAGCTTCTCTTCTCCAGGCTGAACAGCCCCAACTTCCTCAGCCTGGCTCCATACAGGAGGTGCTCCAGTCCCTGCTCATCCTCATGGCCTCCTCTGGACTTGTTCCAACAGCTCCATGTCCTTTTTATGCTGAGGACACCAGAAGTTCTCCTTTCCCTGCTCTCCAGTAATGCCTGGACCTCTAAGAGCAAACCCATGGATGCACCCAGCCAGGTTCAGCCCCTCCAGCTTGGTCCCCTCAAGCACCCAGCTGAGCTGAGCAGCTCAGAGATGCTGCCAGCATCCTCTTAGCGGTTTGCTGCCCAGAGAGCTGGAGTTGTGCCTGGCATCTCCTCCCCGGGGCTCAGAGCAGCCTCTTGCACCGTCCCAATGGTGCTGGTTTGACCTGGGATGGTTTCTGTTCCCTTTCTCTGCAGGAGAAGCATGAAGAGGAAAGCCATGTTCACCTGCCCCTTCAATGGCGACTGCAAGATCACCAAGGACAACCGGCGGCACTGCCAGGCCTGCCGGCTGAAGCGCTGCGTGGACATCGGCATGATGAAAGAGTGTGAGTATGGGGCACGCATCCCATGGGAACATCCCGGCTTCGCGCCCTCGTCTCCTTTTCCTTCCCATTCAACGTGCGGCGCAGAAGGCTTGGGAAGCCCTCCAGGGATCCAAAGGGGATGCAAAGGGCAGGGGATGTGGTGGGTAATGATTAAGAGGAGTTTGTTTAATGGTTGAGGCCGTTGCTGTGGTGCTCAGTGAGCTGGGGAGCTGCTCTGAGCAGAGCCAAGTCGCCTTTGCCGGCCCTCGGAGGGCATCGGCTCAGCGAGAGCATCCGGGGCTGTTTCTGATTAACTCCTGGTTACAGCGAGCGAGCATCCTCGCATCCTGCCTCTGTCCTTGTCCAACCTGGCTGCGGATGCTCCTGGCTTCATCCCAGCAGGGGAGCGGCAGGAGCTGCCCCTCTTTTGCTCAGCCACGTCCCTCTTTGGGCTTGGTGTTTGGCTCCTCTTCATGCTGCGCGGCTCCATCCATCCCTCCCTCCCTCCCTCCATCGCCGTGCACAGCAGCCACCCGAGTCAACAGCCGAGGGGAGTAAAGTGGGGTTTAACCCAATCCAAACACCCTTTAATGGGCTCCAAATATTTGTTTTCTTCGAGTATATCTCGAGATAAGCAGCCTTTAGAGGCTGCAATGGGTTTGGCACAGGTCCTCCTGGGAGCCTGGTGTCCATGGAGGCTTCCAACCACCAGAGCACCTCGGAGCCGTTGCAAACAGGACGTCACCTGGAACGATGGAGACGTTGAAGAGCTGGTGCAGGGCCTGGAGCCCGAGTGTGATGGGGAAGGGCTGAGGGACCTGAGGGCTTCAGATGGAGAGGAGAAGGCTCAGGGGGGACCTGATCGTTCCCTACATCTGTTTCGGGTGATTGAGGCCGTGTGAGCCCCTGGTCAATGAGCTCTGCTTGGTGCAGCCGTTGCTAACAAGGGGAATGCATTGATTTGCTCTGGTAAATGACCCGGAAAGGCTGGAAAACCAGGAACCCATCGGAGCCGCGGTGCTTGCCCCGGCTCCGGGATGCGCCTGCAGGAGTTAACGTGTAAGCGACCCCTCCATCAACCCAGCACCGGATGAGCAAGCCTTAACCTAAGGAGCCTAAAAATAGCCTGCTGTGGACTTTGCTGCTGGTAAATGAGGGCCGAGGTGTCCTGCTGGTATTTTTAGGTCGAATCAGGGCTTTTGAAGCCTCAAGGAGGGGTTGTGCCTTCCCTAGGCTGTTGTTGAAGGCAATGAGGAGCCCATGGGCAAGCCTGGGCCAGTTTGAGCCCTCTGCTGATGGGATCTGAGTGGTCCAAAGCAGAAATGAGAGCGTGGGAGGGGGATGAAGAGGAGGAGGATGAGGGCAGAGCTTGTGCTGGTGCAGGCCCCGCAGTGCGGGGTGCTTGGGTGTTCTTAGACATCGCCTCCAGGGTGCCTTCCCCAGCACAAGGTCCATGGACCAGAGGCTGCGGTGATGGGCTGGGGGGGAGCCGGTGCTTGTCAGAGAGGTGCCAAAGGCAAAGGGACCCTGTGTGTGTGTGTGTGTGTGTGTGGACTGATGCAGAGCAAGGGTCCCGGAGCCACTGGAGGTGGGAGCTGGAGGGCAGCGAGGTTATGGCCATGGCCATGGGCTGGAGCAGGGTTTGCAGCCCCGCCGCAAGCCTGGGCTCACCCCAGAGCCACGTTAGCAAATACTTGTGGGTTTCCGCCTGTTATCGGTGCAGGGTGAAGCTCGGGGCCGGGGAGCAGGAGCCGGAGCCTTTGGGAATGCGGCTTCTGCTGCCTTTGGGAGAGGTTTCCCTTCGGCTGGCGCTGGGAGCAGCACATCTCCTGCTGGGCAGGACCTTGACGCTCACCCAGCTCCATCCCAGCCTCCCCCCTCGCAGGTTAAAGCCATTCCCCGGCCTTATTTCAAGTTCAGGTTCACTTCTGCTCTAGATTCGGGTGCTGTTTCCTCGCTGGACGACGCGAGGCTGCTCCACATCGCCCCCCGCTCTGCATCCTCGTCCCGGCAGCGCTGCCCTCGGTGTCGGCCGCGGCTTCCCCTGCGCCCTGCGGTGTCTCCCCGGGGACCAGCCTCTGTCTGGAAGCGATGGGCGGGTTTAGCCCGGCCTCCGCACGGACGTGGGGCCAGGGCAGCCCGCAGGCACCCGGCCACGTCGCCGGCTGTGCCAGGAGCCTGCGGCCGCAGCGCTCCAGGGCTTGGGAAGAGCTCGGAGCTTGGAGCTCAAGCGGGAAGGGGCAGGCGCTGAGCTGCTTGTTCCCCCTTGAGGGAGGCAGGGATGCAATGGGCAGCGTCCATGCAGTGCTCCCATGCTTTTGTAATGAGAACTGGGACAGGACAGGGCAGCCCCCCCTTCTCTCCCCATCCCTCCCTTCCCTCTCTATCCCTTCCTTCCCTCCCCATCTCTTCCTTCCCTCCCTATCTCTTCCTTCCCTCCCCATCCCTTCCTTCCCTCCCCATCCCTCCCTTCCCTCCCCATCCCTCTCTTCCTTCCCCATCCCTCCCTTCTCTCCCCATCCCTTCCTTCCCCTCCCCATCCTTCCCTTCCCTCCCCATCCCTCCCTTCTTTCCCCACCCCTCCCTTCTTTCCCCATCCCTCCCTTCCCTCCCCATCCCTCCCTTCTTTCTCCATCCCTCCCCATCTCTCCCTTCCCTCCATATCCCTCCCTTCCTTCCCCATCCCTCCCTTCCCTCCCCATCCCTCCCTTCTTTCCCCATCCCTCCCTTCCCTCCATATCCTTCCCTTCTTTCCCCATCCCTCCCTCCCCTCCCCATCCCTCCATATCCTTCCCTTCCCTCTCCATCCCTCCCTTCTTTCCCCATCCCTCCCTCCCCTCCCCATCCCTCCATATCCTTCCCTTCCCTCTCCATCCCTCCCTTCTTTCCCCATCCCTCCCTTCCCTCCATATCCTTCCCTTCTTTCCCCATCCCTCCCTCCCCTCCCCATCCTTCCATATCCTTCCTTTCCCTCCCCATCCCTCCCTCCCCAGCAGCTGCCCCTACAATGTCCTGATCCCTGGAACAACCCTTCGGTTATTCCCATTCCTTCGAGTCCCCGCTGAGATTGTGCAAGTTTGAGAGCACCTTGGAAAAAGGCCTCTGGCAAAGGGGGGAGCAGGAGCAGGAGCAGGGACAGGAACGTTCCGTGCCCCCAGCCCTGTGCCCGTGGCCCCCGCTGCCCTTTGCCATCATCCCCCTTGACTCGCCCCCATCCAACCGCCCCGCAGCGCCTCGCCATCAGATAACACACATGGGGCTGTGTCTGATGGTGGGTAAAGGGTGCAGAGCACCCTGAGGAACGGGCGCTGCTGCTGTGGGTGTGTTAAGGAGCTAAGGAATGGGCAGGTGGGAGCGGTACAAGGATGGGGAGCTGCATCCAAGAGATCCATGGGGGTCCCTGCTGCTTCCCTCCCAGCCCCATGGGGCTGCTCAGGTCTTGAAGCTCTTTTTACCCAGCCTCATGTATTGCCCTTGAGGCCAAGCCAAGGCTGTCACCCGGAACACGGCCATAAATACCCAGCCCTGGGAGGACGTTTCTGGGTCCCTTCACTTTGCAAACCCTTGTGACAATGCAGACCCCAGGTTATCAGCGCTGCAGCGTCACAGCTCCCTCTGTTGTGGGGCAATGGAGCGGGATGAACCCGCTGGCCCGATCCTGCGGGATCCAGGTTCCTTCCACCTGAGAGCACAGAGCAAACAGCGCAGCCTTGGCCTCCCTGCACCCAGCGTCACCCAACAGCACCCTGTGGGCTGCAAACGGTGCCGTGACCCGGCAGGCGGGGACAGGAGCAGGATGGGGCTGAGCGAGGGTTCGTGGCTGAGGGGGGGGCGATGGGGATGCAGCGGGTGCTCAGCGCCTGTCCCGCTCCCTGCAGTCATCCTGACGGACGAGGAGGTGCAGAGGAAGCGGGAGCTCATCCTGAAGCGCAAGGAGGAGGAGGCGCTCAGGGAGAGCCTCAAGCCCCGCCTGTCGGAGGAGCAGCAGAAGGTCATTGACGTCCTGCTCGAGGCCCATCGCAAGACCTACGACCCCACCTACGCCGACTTCACCAAGTTCCGGGTACGTCCGGGCCGCTCCAGCCCCATTCCCGTGTGTGGGATCAGCCACGGGCACCGAACCCTTCGTGCACTGCTCCTCATGGGGGGGGGGGGGTACGGACCCCAGGAGTGACCCACAGCAAAGTGCTCCATCAGCCCTGCTCTGCATAGAATGGGCTGGGATGAAGGGACCTTAAAGCTCCTCCAGCTCCAATCCGTGCCATGGGCAGGGACCCCTTCCACTGGAGGAGGGTGCTCCAAGCCCCTGTGTCCAACCTGGCCTTGAACACTGCCAGGGATGGGGCAGCCAAACCTTCTCCATTCAACCCACCCCAGTGTCCCAGCACCCTCTTCTCCCTTATCTCCAACCTGAACTCCCCCTGTTCCAGTCTGAACCCATCACCCCTTGTCCCATCGCTCCAGCCCCTGATGCAGGTCCCTCTCCAGCATCCTCATAGCCCCCTTTAGGCACTGGAAGCTGCTCTGAGGTCTCCACGCAGCTTCTCTGCTCCAGCCCCAATGTTCTCAGCCTGGCTCCCATGGGAGCTGCTCCAGCCCCTGAGCATCCTCCTGGCCTTCCCTGGACCAGCTCCAGCCTCTCCATGTCCTTACACTGAGGACACCAGAGCTGCCCCCAGCGCTGCGAGTGTGGTCCCACAGAGCAGGGCAGAGGGGCAGGATCCCCTCCCTGACCCTCTGCTCCCCTTCACATCCTGCTCTCCCTTCCAGCCCCCCGTGAGGAGCAGCCCTGGCAGCAAGGGGGCAGCGAGGGCCCCCTCCATCCTCACCCAGGACTTGTCAGAGGACTGCGGGGACCTCTTTGGCTCCGATGCCTTCAGCGCGTTCCCAGGTACCACCTCACCTCTCCATAGGTGATGGGGGAGAAGGGCAGCGGCTTCACCCCACTGTGGCCCCCTGTTCGACCCCTTCTGAGGAGCTCATTTGACTGAAAGACGCTCCTGGGGGTGCTGCAAAGGCTTCTTATGGGGCACAAACCCCTTCCAGCAGAGCAGGGTGCGGGGAGCTCCAAACACCTGGATGCTGCTGGCTCAGGAAGGCTCCCAGCCCCATTCCCCACATCCTGCTGCAGGATGGGCGCCGTTCCCACTGCTGCCAGCCCCGTTCCCCCCATCCCTAACATCACCCCTGCATCCGGGGTCCCCCTCTGCCCTCAGAGCCTGTGGAGCCGCAGATGCTCTCGAACCTGGTCCTGGAGGAGAACGACAACACCTCCTCCATGAGCACCGACTTCTCGCAGCTCTCCATGCTCCCGCACTTGGCCGACCTGGTCAGCTACAGCATCCAGAAGGTGATCGGCTTCGCCAAAATGATCCCGGGCTTCAGGTGAGACGATGCCCACGCTCGGGAATCCCGCAGCTCCCTCGGGCTCTGTTCCCATCCCAGCCCTGCTCTTGCTTTCCTGTTTCCTGTCCCTCTCCTCCCTGGGTTCCTCCGGATTCACTGCCAGTGAAATGCTTGGGTGCTGCCCCCCAGTGAATGGAGCTGCTTCATCACAGGCACCGGGGTGAGGGAGAAGCTGGGGAGCCCCCAGCAAAGGGACCCAGCATGGGGCAGTTCCAGAGCCTAAAGGGGCTGCAGGGAACCTGGAGAGGGGCTTGGGACAAGGGATGGAGGGACAGGCCAAGGGGAATGGCTTGAACCTGCCAGAGGGGAGACTGAGATGAGCTCTGGGGCAGAAGCTCTTCCCTGTGAGGGTGCTGAGGCGCTGGCACAGGGTGCCCAGAGAAGCTGTGGCTGCCCCATCCCTGGCAGAGCTCAAGGCCAGGTTGGACACAGGGGCTCAGAGAACCCTGCTCCAGTGGAAGGGGTCCCTGGATGTGCTTTAAGCTCCCTTGATCCCAACCCATTCCATGGTTCCATGCTCTATGGGAGGCAGGTTTCTGCTCTCTGAGGCCTCACCTCGGCCTCTCCCCCTGCGCAGGGACCTGGCAGCCGAGGACCAGATCGTGCTGCTCAAGTCCAGCGCCATCGAGGTGATCATGCTGCGCTCCAACCAGTCCTTCACCCTGGAGGACATGACCTGGACCTGCGGCAGCAACGACTTCAAGTACAGGATCAGCGACGTCACCCAAGGTGGAGGCTGCCAGAGCATCCCTGATACCCACATCCCCGCATCCCGCAGGGAGCAGGGATGCGCTGCAGGCTGCGGTACCCAGCAGCCTGGTGGTGTCCCAGCACCAGCTCTGAGGCCTGAGGGCTAAATCTGCATCCTGCAGCAGGACCCAATGGCTCCAAGCACATCCCTCAGCAGTGGGGGATCCTGATCCCCATCAGGCTGTGCTAAAGGGTCCGTTCTCTTCCCAGCCGGCCACAACATGGACCTGCTGGAGCCGCTCATCAAGTTCCAGGTGGGCTTGAAGAAGCTGAACCTTCATGAGGAGGAGCACGTGCTCCTCATGGCCATCTGCATCCTGTCCCCAGGTAGGAGCACGCTCATCCCCCTGCATCACTGACCTGATGGGTTTTGAGGCTGTCCCCACAACACCACCCTTCCCTTATGGGTTCAGTGTTGTCCCCATAACACCCCCCTTCCCTTATGTTGTCCCCATAACACCCCCCTTCCCTTATGGGTTCAGTGTTGTCCCCCTAACACCACCCTTCCCTTATGGGTTCAATGTTGTCCCCATAACACCACCCTTCCCTTATGGGTTCAGTGTTGTCCCCATAACACCACCCTTCCCTTATGGGTTCAATGTTGTCCCCATAACACCACCCTTCCCTTATGGGTTCAATGTTGTCCCCATAACACCCCCCTTCCCTTATGGGTTCAGTGTTGTCCCCCTAACGCCACCCTTCCCTTATGGGTTCAGTGTTGTCCCCCTAACGCCACCCTTCCCTTATGGGTTCTGTGTTGTCCCCCTAACACCACCCTTCCCTTATGGGTTCAGTGTTGTCCCCCTAACACCACCCTCCCCTTATGGGTTCAGTGTTGTCCCCCTAACGCCACCCTTCCCTTATGGGTTCAGTGTTATCCTCTCAACGCCCCCCTTCCCTTATGGGTTCAGTGTTGTCCCCCTAACACCACCCTTCCCTTATGGGTTCAGTGTTGTCCCCCTAACGCCACCCTTCCCTTATGGGTTCAGTGCTGTCCCCATAACACCCCCCTTCCCTTATGGGTTCAGTGTTGTCCCCCTAACACCACCCTTCCCTTATGGGTTCAGTGTTGTCCCCCTAACACCACCCTTCCCTTATGGGTTCGGTGCTGTCCCCCTCAACGCCACCCTTCCCTTATGGGTTCTGTGTTGTCCCCCTAACGCCACCCTTCCCTTATGGGTTCAGTGTTATCCTCTCAATGCCACCCTTCCCTTATGCCACCCTTCCCTTATGGGTTCGGTGCTGTCCCCATAACCCCACCCTTCCCTTATGGGTTCAGTGTTGTCCCCTCAACGCCACCCTTCCCTTATGGGTTCGGTGCTGTCCCCATAACCCCACCCTTCCCTTATGGGATCAGTGTTGTCCCCCTAACGCCACCCTTCCCTTATGGGTTCAGTGCTGTCCCTACAATGCCCCCCTTTCCTTATGGGTTCAATGTTGTCCCCTCAACGCCACCCTTCCCTTATGGGTTCAGTGTTGTCCTCTCAACGCCACCCTTCCCTTATGGGTTCAATGTTGTCCCCTCAACGCCACCCTTCCCTTATGGGTTCAGTGTTGTCCCCCTAACACCACCCTTCCCTTATGGGTTCAGTGTTGTCCCCCTAACACCACCCTTCCCTTATGGGTTCAGTGTTGTCCCCTCAACGCCGCCCTTCCCTTATGGGTTCGGTGTTGTCCCCTCAACGCCGCCCTTCCCTTATGGATTCAATGTTGTCCCCATAACACCACCCTTCCCTTATGGGTTCAGTGTTGTCCCCTCAACGCCGCCCTTCCCTTATGGGTTCAGTGTTGTCCCCTCAACGCCACCCTTCCCTTATGGGTTCAGTGTTGTCCCCCTAACACCACCCTCCCCTTATGGGTTCTGTGTTGTCCCCTCAACGCCACCCTTCCCTTATGGGTTCAGTGTTATCCTCTCAACGCCGCCCTTCCCTTATGGGTTCAGTGCTGTCCCCATAACACCCCCCTTCCCTTATGGGTTCAGTGTTGTCCCCTCAACGCCGCCCTTCCCTTATGGGTTCAGTGTTATCCTCTCAACGCCACCCTTCCCTTATGGGTTCAATGTTGTCCCCATAACACCACCCTTCCCTTATGGGTTCAGTGTTATCCTCTCAATGCCACCCTTCCCTTATGGGTTCAATGTTGTCCCCATAACACCCCCCTTCCCTTATGGGTTCAGTGTTGTCCCCCTAACGCCACCCTTCCCTTATGGGTTCAGTGCTGTCCCCATAACACCACCCTTCCCTTATGGGTTCGGTGCTGTCCCCCTAACACCCCCCTTCCCTTACGGGTTCAGTGTTGTCCCCCTAACACCACCCTTCCCTTACGGGTTCAGTGTTGTCCTCTCAACGCCGCCCTTCCCTTATGGGTTCGGTGTCCCCACGATCTCCCCTTCCCTGCCCCTGCCCCCGGGGCCGTTGGGATCGGCGAGGGCATCACCGCGCCTCCGGTCCCCGCAGACCGCCCGGGCGTGCAGGACACGGCGCTGGTGGAGTCCCTCCAGGACCGGCTCTCCGAGATCCTGCAGAGCTACATCCGGTGCCGGCACCCTCCGCCCGGCAGCCGCCTGCTCTACGCCAAGATGATCCAGAAGCTGGCGGACCTGCGGAGCCTCAACGAGGAGCACTCGCGGCAGTACCGCTGCCTCTCCTTCCAGCCGCAGCACAGCATGCAGCTCACCCCGCTCGTCCTCGAGGTCTTCGGCAACGAGATCTCCTGAGCCGGCTCTCGACGGCCGCCGCCATCCGTGCAGCGCCGGGGGCGAGGGGGGAAGCAGCGGGAGCAGGGCTCGGCCGGAGGCGCTCGGGTGACAGAGCCGGGTCCTTGTGGGGGTTCCCTCTATTCCATGAGCAGCTTCCCCGCTTCCCTGCCCTCTGCCGCTGCTGACTTCTCCCTTTAGGGGCGCCCTGAGGCCGAGCTGCCCCCGGTCACTTCCAGACGTGAGACGTGGAGGGAGAAGCGCCCCGGGGGCAGCGCTGTCCTCTGCCCCCCATCAACGAGGGGGGCACCGGGTGAGGATGCTGTGAGGGGACGTTTGTCCGCAGCCCCACGGCAGCAACCGGGTGAGCCGTGATTCGTGCTCCCGGGGTCCCCTCGGGTGCAGCCCCGGGCTGCGAGCCCATCACGGGGGTGACAACCACGGCTTCAGCTCCGCCTCGGCGCCCAGCGCTGGGCTGGAGCCGGGCACCGGAGGATGCTCTTACCCCACACCCCCTCCCCCCCGTCCTTCCCGGTACCGGGGGGAGCCCCGCGCCCCCCCCAGCCCCCGGCCCCAGCTCGCTCCGTGCAAATAAACTCGCTCCAACGGCAACGGCGCTGCGCGTCCGGGGGGGGCTGCGGGGACGGGAGGGGAAGAGGCGGGGGCCGAGCGGTCCCTGCGCCCTTCCTTGCACGTGTGTGTGTGTGCACATGTATGTCCTGTGTGTACATGTGTGTGTGTGCACATGTATGTCCTGTGTGTACATGTGTGTGTGTGCACATGTATGTCCTGTGTGTACATGTGTGTGTGTGCACATGTATGTCCTGTGTGTACATGTGTGTGTGTGCACATGTATGTCCTGTGTGTACATGTGTGTGTGCACATGTATGTCCTGTGTGTGCACATGTATGTCCTGTGTGTACATGTGTGTGTGTGAGGACATGTATGTCCTGTGTGTACATATGTGTGTGCACATGTATGTCCTGTGTGTACCTGTGTGTATGCACATGTATGTCCTGTGTGTACGTGTGTGTGTACATGTATGTCCTGTGTGTACATGTGTGTGTGTGCACATGTATGTCCTGTGTGTACACATGTATGTCCTGTGTGTACATGTGTGTGTGTGCACATGTATGTCCTGTGTGTGCACATGTATGTCCTGTGTGTACATGTGTGTGTGCACATGTATGTCCTGTGTGTACGTGTGTGTGTGCACATGTATGTCCTGTGTGTACATATGTGTGAGGACATGTATGTCCTGTGTGTACATGTGTGTGTGTGCGGAAATGTATGTCCTGTGTGTACATATGTGTGTGTGCGCACATGTATGTCTTGTGTGTACATGTGTGTGTGAGCACATGTATGTCCTGTGTGTACATATGTGTGTGTGCACATGTATGTCCTGTGTGTACATGTGTGTGCGCACATGTATGTCCTGTGTGTACATGTGTGTGTGCACATGTATGTCCTGTGTGTACATGTGTGTGTGTGCACATGTATGTCCTGTGTGTACCTGTGTGTATGTATGTCCTGTGTGTACGTGTGTGTGTGTACATGTATGTCCTGTGTGTACATGTGTGTGTGCACATGTATGTCCTGTGTGTACCTGTGTGTATGCACATGTATGTCCTGTGTGTACGTGTGTGTGTGTACATGTATGTCCTGTGTGTACATGTGTGTGTGCACATGTATGTCCTGTGTGTACACATGTATGTCCTGTGTGTACATGTGTGTGTGTGCACATGTATGTCCTGTGTGTACATATGTGTGTGTGCACATGTATGTCCTGTGTGTACATATGTGTGTGTGCACATGTATGTCCTGTGTGTACATGTGTGTGTGCACACCTGTATGTCCTGTGTGTACACATGTATGTCCTGTGTGTACATGTGTGTGTGCACATGTATGTCCTGTGTGTACATGTGTGTGTGTGCACATGTATGTCCTGTGTGTACATATGTGTGAGGACATGTATGTCCTGTGTGTACATGTGTGTGTGTGTGCACATGTATGTCCTGTGTGTACCTGTGTGTGTGTGCACATGTATGTCCTGTGTGTACATGTGTGTGTGTGCACATGTATGTCCTGTGTGTACATGCGTGTGTGCACATGTATGTCGTGTATGTTTGTGCACGTGTCCCATGTGTACACGTGTGTGTGCCATGCCCCATGTGTACATGTATGTCCCGCGTGTGCGCACGTGTCCCGTGTCCGCGTGCACACGTGTGTCCCGCCAGCACGTGCCTGTGGCCGCGTGCCCGCCTGCGCACGTGTACCCTGCAGCCGGGGGGGGGGCGTGGCCTCCGGGCATTCGCTCCCGCCCATTGGCTCCACCCTTGGCACCGCCCCCACCGCCCTTTGGCTCCGCCCCCGTCTCCTGGGCGACCGGGTGAAGCTGCGCGTGCGCAGAGCGACGGGGCGTGGCGAAGTCACGGCTGACGCATGCGCAGACTGAGGCACGGCGGGGTGGGGGGGGCAGGCGCGCAGGGGATGACGCATGCGCAGTGTGGTGTGATGCGCCGCGCCGCCCGCATCATGGCCGCCGCCGCCGCCGGGGCCTGTGTCGGTACCGGGGCCTGTGTCGGGACCGGGGTCGGGACCGGGGCCGCGCCGCGCATCGGGACCCACGACGGGACCTTCCACTGCGATGAGGCCCTGGCGTGCGCGCTCCTGCGGCTGCTGCCGCGCTTCCGGGTACGGCCCCGCCGAGCCCCCCCCCCACCGGGGCCTCCTCAGCGGCGCCGCCGCCCACTGGGAACCGGGGGCAGGGCCCGGTTGCAGCCGGGGGCACCCCCGAGGTTCCGGTGCCTTTGTGCCCCCCGCAGACCCGCGGCCCCTCTGGGGTCCTGCTCCCACCCCGAGGCCACCCTTTGGTCCCTCGGTTCCTCCGTTCGGGGCCCCTTTTGGGTCCCCAGCCCCTCTCTGGGGTCTCCGGTCCCACCCGCAGGCCCCCGTTGGGTCCCCAGTCCCTGTCAGGCGCACGGGCACCCTTAGGGCCTCCCCTTGGGGTCCCCCGTTAGTTCTCAGTGCCCCTCATGGTCCCGGTTCTCACCAGGGGCAGGTCCTGGGGGGGGGCCCCCTCCCCCGGGCTCCCCAATGTTACACACACCCCCCCACCCGTGCACCACAGGACGCAGAGGTGGTGCGCACCCGGGACCCACAGCGCCTGGCGCAGTGCGAGGTCGTGGTGGATGTGGGGGGGGAGTACGACCCTGAGCGGCACCGCTATGACCATCACCAGAGGTGAGCCCCCCCCCCCCCCGCGACCAGAGCGGGGTCCCCTGGGTGTTGGGGGGGGTCCCACGATGGAAGATCTTAGGCTGAGGCACTGGCACAGGGTGCCCGGAGGAGCTGTGGCTGCCCCATCCCTGGCAGTGCTCAAGGGCAGGTTGGACACAGGGGCTCGGAGCACCCTGCTCCAGTGGGAGGGGTCCCCTTCCACCCTGGGGTTCTCTTCCATCTCCCATGGCTCTGTTTGGCACCAGCCCGGCTCAGGCTGTGCCCTCGTTCCCAAGCCACGGCCTCACGCCAGCACCCATCTTCAGACCGACCTGATGCAAGCGCTGGCAGACGCGGAGCCAGGGCCCGACACCGTTTGCCACCAGGGATGAGCAAACCTGGCTCGACCCCACCCGGAGCTGGGGCCATCGGCCCCGATAAGATCCATCCCAGGGAGAGGAGCTGAGCTCCAGCGCTGCAGGAGCACCCACAGGCTCCATCCCTGCTCCAAGGGGCCGATGCAGCAGCAGAGAGGAGCTTTCAGGTCCTTTCCATCCCAGCCCATTCCCGGCCCTGCAGATCCTTCACCCATTCCATGCGGAGCCTCCGGCCGGACAAGCCCTGGAGCACGAAGCTCAGCAGCGCCGGGCTCATTTACTGCCACTTTGGCTCCCAGATCCTGGCCCAGCTGCTGGGGCAGCCGGAGGACGGCCCCGTGGTGGCTGCGCTCTATGACCAGGTAGGGAGGCTCTGGGTTGGGTGGGGGGGATCTCCCCCAGCTCCCCCCCATGGATGGGGGGCACCCCATAGCACAGGGCCCCCCTTTGTCCCCAGCTCTACGAGAGCTTCGTGGAGGAGATCGACGCCATCGACAACGGCATCGCGCAGGCGGAGGGGGAGCCCCGCTACGCCCTGAGCAGCACCCTCAGCGCCCGCGTCGGCCGCCTCAACCCGCGCTGGAACGACCCCGACCAGGACACCGAGGTGGGGATGGGGCCATGGGGGCAGCACGGGGCCACCCCACAGCCCCCCCGTCCTGTGCCACCCCTGAGCCCTCCCCCTGTGTGTGTTTTCCCCCCCCAACCAAGGCCGGGTTCCAGCGGGCCATGGAGCTGGTGCGCAGTGAGTTCCTGGAGCGCGTGGACCATTGCCAGCGGAGCTGGCTGCCGGCGCGGGCGCTGGTGCATGAGAGCATCCAGCGCCGCTTTGAGGTGCTCATTGGGGAGCTGGGCGGGGTCAGAGGTTGGGGGGGGAGCAGTGCGGTGATGGGGGGGGGCAGGTGCCCTCGAGACGGACATCCCTGCATGGCCCAGGGTGGCCCCTGCACCCCATACATGGCCCTGCACCCATCCTGCACCCCTATATCCTCACACACAGCCCTGCAGCCCTCCTGTACCCCTATATCCTTACAGCCCTGCACCCCTCCAACACCCCATATCCTTACACACAGCCCTGCAACCCCTGCTGCAGCCCTATATCCTTACACACAGCCCTGCACCCCTATATCCTTACAGCCCTGCACCCTTCCTGCACCCCTATATCCTTACACACAGCCCTGCACCCCTCCAGCACCCCTATATCCTTACACACAGCCCTGCACCCCCCCTGCACCCTATATCCTTACACACAGCCCTGCACCCTTCCTATACCCCTGCATCCTTACACATGGCCCTGTACCCCTATACCCTTAAACACAGCCCTGCACCCCTCTATCCTTACACAGAGCCCTGCAGCCCCCTATTCTTTACCCCTGACCCTGCACTGCTGTATCCTCATCATAGCCCTGCAACCCCCCTGCACCCTTCTATCCTCA